AGGTTTTGTGTCTGGTCCTTAGCAGAGCTCAAAATGTCTCAGAATATCCAAAGTACAGTTTGAGACCTCTTATAAAATCCAAGTGAGTTGGGTAGGCAGTATCACGTGCCCAGTGTCCTCTCCCCCAGGCTTCCCTGTCAGAAACCAGCAGAGGGCCTGTTCCCCCTGCCTTGACTAAAGAGAGAGGCCAGGCAAGGCTCCATGGCCTTCCTAGGTTGCCTCCTTCTATGGCACGCCGCTGCAAAGCTAACCCAAGAAGGTGTGTTACCTGCTGGGTCTGTGTGAGAGCGCCTTTAAAATGGGCTGAGTTTAGTCTGTACCCAAAATTGTTGTGGTTGAGTGGGCTTGGTGAGTTTGGTGGGAGGAGGATGTGGCCATTGCCCAGTTTCTCTGTTGCCTTAAATTACTAAGGAGACTCTTGGTCTGCTCTAGTTGGAGATGGGATTTATTTAGAAACCTTTCACTGAACGTGTTCTCAGTGAGAGTGAGCACAGCGTTGTGGCCCCAGAGCCAACTGGAGGGCAGGATGGCTGTGTGACCCTGGACAAGTCACTTATCTCTCACTGTTCTGGACCACTAGAGTGTGTAAATTGAGAAGTACCAACCTACATTGCTAGGGGGATTCCTTATAATCATAAGAGCTGGCATTTTAGGAGCAGAGCTTTTCATTTGTCTTCATTTGATCCTCACTACAACCCTGAGAGGGAGGGAGGGGCTGCTATTATTTCCATTTTACAAATCAGTAAACCTAGGCAGACAGGTTAAGTGACTAGCCCAGGGCCATGCAGCTAGGAAGTATCTCAGGCTGGATTTGAACTTGAATCTTCAGTAAACCAATGACATCATGAGTCCACTCCTTTTTTCTTTTCCTTATTCCTCTAATGCCATAGTCAAGATTAAAATAGGGAAGAAGAATGCAGTTTTATGGAAATTGAATTAACTAATAAATTCCAAGTGGTTCCCTGTCAGTGCTATGAAGGTGGTTTTACACTGTAATTTTAAGGCACCAAATTACTCACACCTCTGTGTGTGTGTGTGTGTGTGTGTGTGTGTGTGTGTGATTAAAAACAGAGGCAAGTTAATACAATTTGAGAAAAAGAGAAGATCGGCTACAAATGTGGCTCTCCCCATTAGTCTTCCATGGTATTTCCATCTAGGGACAGGCCTGCTTATTGATTTACATTGTTCTGATCTACTATCTGCTGACATTTTAACTTTATTCATTACAGTCATATGTGGTTACTCTTGGAGTTTTTTAGGGGTAATGTGACTTTTAGAAGAGAACCAGAGATATTGCTGAAGAAATCCCCTTACTTTCTGCCATTATTTGAGAGTAGAAATAGTTATGGTCTTAGAATTAGTTTTGACCTGCTCAGGTAGTATGAGCATCAAAGGTTGACTTTACCTTGGTGACATTGATACAGCCCCAGGTTGTGGTGCCCTGTTTTATTTACTCAGAAACGCCATTTTGATCATCTCACCCAGTAAGGTGTGATTCTCTAAAGAATGAACATAGCTTATAGAGAGTTGAAACTCTTCTAATCAAGGAGGAGAGAGGACCCCATAGCTGTCCGGAAGAGGCCTAAATGAACCGCAGCCCAGGTGCTGAGACCATGACCACATGGGATTGGGGAGCCGTTGTCAGTGGACTCTGAAGGCTTGTGGATCCCAGCAGATGTGCCGGGACCAGAGGACAAAAGCTATGCTGATTTTCAGATAAGAGAGGAGTGGGATGTCTGCAGAGGGTAGGGCGATGAATTTGACTTTGATTCCTGGCCACATTCTTGACTGTATATTAAAGGGACAGTTAGTAAAAATCTAGAGAAGGTAGCAGTTGCTGGTCAGTGTGGCGGGATCATGGATAGTCCTGTCACACTGACCGTGTTTCCTTTTTCGCCCAGGTTCCTAGATTGGTAGGTCAGTAGGATGCTGTCTGTATAGTCTACCTCAGTTTGAACCAGCATTTAACAGACTCTCATGTGGTTCTCATCTTGTACCCCTCATCTGGACAGGCTCACTTTTCTCCCCATCTCTTCGCTCCTCCCCCAGTTGCTTGATTTCTAGTTCTGGAACCATCATTAAATCCAGAAAAGAGCACGCTGCTCTGCTTCCCCCTTCCGTCTGGCTGCCTGGAGTCAGCATTCGAGTGGATGGCTGCCTTCCTTTATCACCTGCTCTCCCTCTGAGCACCTTTGCTCAGAGCCTCTCCTTGGAATGTCGTGTGAGCTGCATTTTCCTCTCTAGCTGCGGGGTCTCGCTGCCGCTGCTCACCTCTGTGTAAGTCAGCAGAGTCTAGACACAGAACCAGATGCAGCCAGAGTGGGACTTTGTTTTGCTTGACTATTGAATTTTTAGGGCTTTGCTTCCTTCTTTCTCCAGTGGGAGAGAGTTGGGGAGAGTAAGGAAAGGGATGGGGCAGCATTAAGAAAAGGAGAGTCTCTGAGAACGGAACAAAAGGAACCTTTGAAAGCTACAACTTGAATGTCTTCTCTACCTAAAAAGAAAAGGTAGCTCAGTCTTGGGAGAGCCACAGTCCAGACGTTACTAATCGTTTTCAGTTCTACCTTGTATGTGGACGTGTGTGTGTTAAGTGAAGACTGAAAACTTAATTATGAAATCACATAGGTATTGCCAGAATAGGCAGTATTTAGACAAAGTGCAGCCAGGCTGCCTGGGGACCCTAGAACCTCGTTATCCTGAGTGGGCAGGCCTTCTGGCACTTCCCAGCTTAGCCCCTAGAAGCCATCCAGACCTTCTCTCCCCGGGCCTGTTCTGTCTCCCTTTGTGCTTGTGATGACACGAGTGCGAGGTGGCCCCTCTCTGGCTGTGGGGCAGCCTCTCTGCACATGCCCTTCTCCTGTGCCTTCCCAGGGCACTTGCCCTCTTCTCTTGCAGCTTGCCCCAACCCATCCCCATTTCTCTTTAATCTTCAGCCTCTCTCTCTGCAGGGGCTTCCTTTCCTATTGCCTTGAAATACACCCACTCCCTCAGCCCTCAAAAGACTGGCTTCCACCCGTTCTAGCTGTCCTCAGACTCACAGAGAAAGTGGTCTTTCCTGGATTCAGCGACCGCCCACTCCCTCCCCACCCTGTGCAGCCTGACTCATCCCTCAAGTGAAGCTCCCCCACTGAAGGTCCTGTGGTTTCCTCATTGTCATGGCTGGTGGTCTCCCCTTCCCAATCTCCCCATGCATCTGACGCTGCTCCCTTCATCTCTCTCCTCCTGGGTTCTTTCTGGTTGGTCAGCCAGCCAGCGTTTCTTAGACAATTACAAGGTGGTCTGACAGGCCGCTCATCTCCTGTCACCTCACCTCCGTGCTTGGCATGTGCCCCCTCCTCTTTGCTGCTGCTTACAATGCTTTCTTCCTTCAAGGCATTGCTCCAGCACCAGTTTCTGCAGGAAGCCTTTCCTGTTGCTCTGGCTCCTTCGGCCTTCTCTAAACTATAGTATGTGTGTTGGTTTTTATTCCGTATCTGCTGACATGTGGGCTTGTCCCTACCTTTGTGATCTGGGCCTCCTCACGGTAGAGACTGTTTCATATTGAATGTTTGTGTCCTCTGGGGTTGGCACCTTGCTGGGCAGATCACAACATCCTTGTCCTGGAGGGACAAGGTATCAGAGGCTGATTAGCCAAGTCTCTTCATTTTACAGCTGAGGAGACTGAGGCACAAGGCTTACACTGGTAAGCAACTTGCCCACTGTCACAGTAAGTAGACGGTAGAAACTTAATAAATGCCTGCTAGTTTATTATTTATTGTTTGGATCACTTGATTGCATCTACTGGGTCAATTGATAAGCTCTTCTCCCCCGCCTCCACTCCCCACCCCTGTTACTTTCCTAAGCAAAACATTGTTCCCCTGTATATTTTGCCTGTGAACTAGAGCTGGCTTCCCTTTCGTATTTGTACCGCCAGCACTTTGCATACTTTGGGGCAGTGCTTTTCCATTCATTTGCCTCTGGCTGTTGTCAGATTGGAAGGCCTCCAGCAGAGGCTCCAGGGGTCTTTTCCTGCATCTCTCTTGTTCCTCATTTTCCTCAAGGACTAGAATCAAGGCATAGATGGTATGATTTTCCAGTTTTCAGATGACATTAAGCGAGAGATGTAGCGAACACGTTGAATGACAGTCATGATACAAAAATACCTCAGCAGGCTGAAAGATTGGAAAAGTTGAACCAAACCGAAGAAGGTGACATTTAATAAGAGCACAGGTAAAATGTAAAAATGAGGTTGATGAGCGCCAACTTGGGGAGAGGTGGTCAGGTAGGAGTTTGTCCAGAAAAGATCCCGATAGTCTTTGCGGACTTCAGTACGAGTCAGAGTTGCAATCCAGTGGTGACAAAATCTAATAAATACCATTGTAGTCTGCATGAAGAGAAGCCTCAGATCTAGACCTAGAGGGCCTAGAGGTCACTGCGAGGGCAGAGAAGAGGGGGAGGGGAGGGAGAACAGCATGTCTTGGTTCCTCCCAGGGAGTCAGCACTTGGGCCTTGGTGATCCTGACGTTTCTCAGCTCCTTTTGTAACATCAGTAATCGCGCTGGGCCTTTCTCTAGCGCTCTGAGCCTTGTGGGGCCCTTGGCCTTCATTTGCTTTACTTGTATCCCTGTCTCCTTTGCCTGAGTGGTATAGACACATGTGTGGATAGAGTAGTGTCACCAGTCCTGGCCTAGGGGCGTAGGTCCTAGAGGGGGAGACAAGTACCTCCCACAGCTTTAGCGTCATCTGTCATCATCGCCATAGTCACCGCCCAGTCATCCCTGGTGTTTAAAATTAAGGGTGAGGAAGCAGGCCGCAGACAGCCATTCTGCCCTGTGGTCTGGGGCACGTCCCTCCTTTCCGGGGTCCTTCGTTTCCTTGCCTGTAAAAGGAGGGGCATGGACTCTGGGCATTTGTGAGGCTGCTTCCTCCTAAGGATCGGTGGCATGGCCCTCTTCTCTCGTCAGCTACCTTAGTTACACTATGGTGCTCTTCTCTAGCCTGACTTTGGTGCATCTTTGCAGGGTGGACGTTAATGATGACAAAAGGATCAGCGCCAAAGAAATGCAGCGCTGGATCATGGAGAAGACAGAGGAGCACTTTCAGGAAGCCGTCAAAGAAAACAAGATGCACTTCAGGGCGGTCGATCCCGACGGCGACGGTAGGACCCCCCACCCCTGCATCCAGTGTGCCTTTTAAAATGCCCTCGTGTGTCCAGCAGAGTCACAAAGGTCTTCTTGAGACAAACTACACATTTTTAAAGCAAAAATGTGAAAAAAGAACTACTCCCCCAATACTGGTGTGTGTAAACCAGAGGAAAAATGACACTTGTTTTCCTAGAAGTAAGTTAGCCTGGTCCCCTTCATGCCTGAAAAGCTGCAGTGCCTGCACGAAGAGCTGGCTACTGGGAGGGCATATCTGTGAATGGGACCTTAGAAACCAAAGAAGACTGCCACCCCGGCTGACCCTGCCAGGTAAAACCAGACAGCCTGGACCAGCCATAGGCCACTGTCGCGGGGTAGAGCTGTTAGGTAGGCGCTTTCCTTTCTCTTAACTGCACAGTGTCCTGGGCCCAGAAGGTGGCCGAGAAGTAGAACAGGCATGTCTGCTTGTGTTCTTCCAGTGTGAAGAGGGGGTCTATTAGGTCAGGTCAGACTAAGTGTAGAACTTGGTTCCTGTTCCTTGAAGCCCCAGACATGACTAGTCCAGTCTTATAAGGAGAACTAGCACAGTGCCAGGTCCACAGTAGGCATTTAATCAATGCTTGCTGACTGCTTCACTAGAAACAGTCACAGTCAAAAGTCAGAATACAATTGATGTGAAAGTAGGAACTAGGAAATGGCCTGATTATTGTTTGGTGCCATTTAGAGCAAACATTTAAAAAGTAAATTTCAAAGATTCTACTGCAAAGTTTCCTCTGAATTTTTTTTTTTAAATGAAGGATTCTTAATATAACCACTAAGGCTATGTTTTAAAAATAGCAACAAAATCTGAAGAAAAGGACTGAAGAAAATGATCAGTAAAGGACATAGATGCTAACAGTTTAAAACATCTTATTTTTTAAAATAAATTTTTTTCATCTTTTTGTTTTCATAATACCTCTATTTCGAAGTATCTATCCCCCACTTTCCTAGAAAGCCATCTCTTTTAACAAAGAATAAAAAGAGAAATATAAGTTCGTAAAAAATGACCAATGCCATGAAAAAAACCTGACATTCTTTGGAGTGTCTCCTACCCACAGTCCCCCACCTTTGCAAAGAAGTCAGGGTGGAGTGTCTCCTCATGTGAATTCTCTGGGGCGAACTTGGCTGTTACTGCCCAGCATTCCATCTCCGTCTTTTTGGTCACTTCTTTCTCTTGATCTTGCTGTGGTCATCGTGTACCTGATTTTCTGATTCTTCTTCATGTTGCAGCAGTTCACGGAGATCTTCCCACGCTTCTGCAGGCTTCACATTCGTGATTTCTTGCCAGGCAGTAATAGTGTTACGCTCATAAGCCACAATCCCTGGTCAGTTTGCTTTCCAGTCTTCTGCCACAAAAATGTTGCTGTGACTATAATGTAAGGGGGGGGCCCTTTCCTTCTGTCTTTGACCTATGGGGTATATGTCTGGCAGTGGCATATCTTGGTCAGACACTGAGCACTTTAGTTACTTTTTAAAAGCATAATTCTTAATTATTTTCCAAAATGATTGGACCAGTTTACGTCTCAACTCATGGCGGATTAGTGTGCTTGTCTTCAGTGCTTCTGAAACGTCCAAGCAGCTCTGTTTTTGTTACCTTTGCCAGTTTGCTGAGTGTGTGGCAAAAGATCGGCATTTCTCGATTTCTTCTAAATGATTTGGAGCATTCTCTCCTCTAGTCATTTGTAGTTTGTGGTTCTTTTGGGAAGTGCTTGTTCACATCCTTTGACCGCTAATCAACTGGGGCCCAGAAAATGATGGGGCGGGACTTTGTCTTATTTCTTTTGTTATTTATGTGTTTTGGACTTGGGGTGCTTTGATATTATTGATGGGTAAGATTTTTTTATTTCATTCAGTTTAAAGTATCTGTTTTGTCCTCTGTGATCACCTCTGTCTCATGTTAAGAAGTTTTCCCTTATTCACAGCTGTGACAATTTCTCTTTCAGTTTTTTTGTTATGTGATCTTTGGTATTTCACATTTGTGGGTTTTTTTGTGTGTGTGGTATATTTTGTAATATGTTAGTCTAAACTTAATTTCTACAAGTCTGTGCTCCAACCACTGATGCTGAAGGGGCCCAAGTTGATCATTTCTAGGAAAAGCTACAACATCTTCTAGAAATAACACCAAAGATATTAGCATTCATCTTCGGGGACTGGAATGCTAAAATAGGAGATCAAAAGATAATTGGAATAACAGGCAAGTTTGGCCTTGGAGCACAGAAGTGAAGCAGGGCGGAGACCGATAGAGTTTTGTCAAGGTGACTCATTGTCAACAACCCAAAAGGTGACTGTACACATAGACATCACCAGATGGTTGATATGGAAATCAGATTAAGTGTATGCTCTGCAGCCAAAGGTGGAGGAGCTGGAGCTGACTGTGGCTCAGATCATGAACTTTAATTTAGATTTAATTTAGATTTAATTGAAGAAAGGAGGGAAAACCATCATACCACATAGGTATGACTTAAATAACATCTCTTATGAATATGAAGTGGAAGTGATGAATAGACTTAAGAGATTAGGTCTGGTAGCTAGAATGCCTGAAGAACTATGGACAGAGGTTTCCAGTATTGTACAGGAGGCAGCAACAAAATATTCCAAAGAAAAAGAAGAGCAAGAAAGCAAAATGGCTGCCTGATGAGGCATTAAAAATAGTTAAGAAAAGGAGGAAAGGGAAAGGGAAAGCTAGAGCCAATGGAATGCAGAATCCCAGAGACTAATAAGGAGAGGTAAGAAGGTATTCTTGAAAGAGCAATGCAAAGAAATGGAAGAAAACAATAGAATGGGAAAGGCAAGAGATCTCTTCAAGAAAATTAGAGCTGTCAAGGGAAAGTTTCATATAAAAATGGGCACAATAAAAGACAAAAATGGTAGGGATTTAACAGAAGTAGAAAAGATTAAGAAGAGGTAGCAAGAATACATAAAAGAAAGAAAGAAGAAAGATCTTAACATACCAGTAAACATGGTGGTGTGGTTACTGATCTAAAGCCAGACATCCTGGAGAGTTAAGTCAAGCAGGCCTTTAGAAGCATTGCTAATGGTAAGGCCAGTGGGGATGATGGAATTCCAGCTGAGGTATTTATTTATTTATTTATTTATTCTTAAGTTTTTTAATGTTTTATTCCCCGCCCCCCAATTACATGTTATTAAAACAATTTTCTTAACATTTAAAAAAAAGTTTTAAGCTCCAAATTCTATCCCTCTCTTCCCCTCTCCCTCCCCCTCCTCGAGGTGTTAAGCAATGTAATAATACGGGTTATACATGTACAATCATGTAGAACATTTCCATATCAGTCATTTTGTACAAGAAGACTCAAAAGAGTGAGAAAAAGGAAGAAAGAAAGAAAAAGAAAGTGAAAAATAGCATGTTTCAGTCTGTATTAAGACAATAGTAGTTCTTTCTCTGGAGGCAGATAGCATGCTTCATCACGTGTCCTTTGGGATTGTCTTGGATCATTGTATTGCTGAGAATAGCTAAGTCATTCACAGTTGATCATCATACAGTGTTGCTATTACTGTGGACAACATTCTCCTGGTTCTCCTCACTTCACTTTGCATCAGTTCATGTAAGTCTTTTGTTTTAAAAATTAATTTATTTTGATTTATCAACAATCACTTCCATATGCTTTTGAGTTTAAAATTTTTCTCCCCCTTCCTCCCCACTACCCTCCCAAAACCGCACATAATCTAATATAGGCTATACATATACAGTCCTATTAAACATATTTTCAAGAATTAGAACCTATAGTAGGTACCACCAGAAAGAGGAAACAAAACTCAACGGAAGAAAAAAAAATAGCAAATAGTATGCTTCGATCTGCATTCAAACTCCATAGTTCTTCCTTTGGATGTGGATAGCATTTTCCATCGCGAGGCCTTAGGAGATGTCTTAGATCCTTGTATTGCTGGGAAGGGTTAAGTTTATCAATATTAGTCATTGCACAATGTGGCTGTTATTGTGTACAAGGTTCTCTTGGTTCTGCTCACTTCGCTCAGCATCAGACCATACAAGTCTTTCCAGGTTTTTCTGAAGTCTGCCTGTTCATCATTTGTTATAGCACAGTAGTATTCTATTACATTCATACAGCACAACTTGTTCAGCCATTCCCCAATTGATGGGCTCTCAATTTCCAATTCTTTGCCACCACAAAAAGAGCTGCTGTGACTATTTTTGTACGTGTGGGTCCTTTTCCCATTTGTGTGATCTCTTTGGGATATAGCCCTAGAAGTGCTATTGCTGGGTCAAAGGGTATGCACATTTTTATAGCCCTTTGGGCATAGTTCCAAATTGTTCTCCAAAATGGTTGGATCCTTTCACAACTCCACCAAGAATGTATTAGTGTTCCAGTTTTCCCACATCTTCTCCATTTATCATTTTCTTGTTTTGTCATGTTGGCCAGTCTGATAGTTGTGATGTGGTAGCTCAGAATTGCTTTGATTTGCATTTCTCTAATCAGTAGTGATTTAGACCATTTTTTCATATGACTGTAGATGGCTGTAATTTCTTCATCTGAGAACTGCTTGTTCATATCCTTTGACCATTTATCAATTGGGGAATGACTTGTATTCTTATAAATTTGACTTAATTCTCTATATATTTTAGAAATGAGGCCCTTATCAGAGAGACTGGTTGTAAAAATTCTTTCCCAATTTTCTACCTTCCTTCTAATCTTAGTTGCGTTGGCCTTGTTTGTGCAAAAACTTTTCAATTTAACGTAATCAAAGTTATCCATTTTGCTTTTCGTAATGTTCCCTCTCTCCTGTTTGGTCATGAACTCTTCTGTTCTCCATAAATCTGATAGGTAAACTATTCCTTGCTCTCCCAGTTTGCTTACAGTATCCCAGTTGAGGTATTTAAAACCCTAAAAGATGATGCTGGTAAAGTGCTGCACTCAGTGTGCCAGCAAATCTGGAAAACTCAACAGTGGCCACTGGATCAGAAGAGATCACTTTACATGCCATTCCTAAAGAAGGGCAATGC